GGACCGGGCCACGCCGGCGCCTACGCCTGCCTCGCCCCAAACCCGCGCACGGGCAGCCGCCGCCGCTCGCTGCTCAACCTCACGGTGGCGGGTGAGAGCGGCCGGTGCAGGAGGAGACGGCCGGGGAGGGGCCGGCGGGGAGGGGCGGGGACGCCTAGAAGAAGGGGCGGAGCCAGCCAGAGGAGAGGGGAGGGGCCGGAGTGGTGCGGCCCGGACAACCGGGAGAGAGGGGCCCGCCGGCACTGAGAGGGCGCTGGTTCCTGGGCAAGACGCATCCCCAGCAAAGTGAGCAGCGGAGCTTAATGGCAAAGGGCGGAAGTTAGAAAGAGAAGGGACCGAGTTGCCGGGCACGGTAAGTGGGAACCGCAAAGGGAAAAGTTACCTGGCCAAGGGGGCGGGGTCACAAGAGAAAGGGGGCGGGGTTATTCCGGGAGGGGGCGGGGTCATCTTAGATAGAGGGCGGGATCCACAAGGGAGGGCGGAGATATCTGGAAAACGAGGAGGCTTTTGTGGGATAATCACGGAGGGAGCTGAGTACCTGGTGGAAGGGGCGGAGCTGGAAAGGAAGGGGCTGGGCTAAGCTCGGAAGGAAAGGAGTCAGTGACTGAAGGGGCAGGTTTCTTCACTAAGGTCGGTGGGGCCGCCAGCTGCCCGCGTAGCCGGGGACTTACCGGGGGAAGGTGTGGGGCGGGGTTAGCGACTGTGGGGCAGGGCTAGGTAAAGAAGGGGTGGAGCCAACGCGCAGAGAGGCGGGGCTAGAGAAGAAAGGGAGGACTCGCTCTTCCATCGCTCCCTTCCCTCCGCAGATCTGCCCCCCGGATCTCCACAGTGCTCAGTCGAAGGGGGTCCCGGAGACCGCAGCCTGCGCTTCCGCTGTTCGTGGCCAGGAGGGATCCCTGAAGCCTCCCTGCAGTTCCAGGGTCTCCCCGAAGGCGTCCGAGCAGGGCCGGGGCCCTCCCCACTAGTGGCGGCCGTCCCCGCTCATCCCCAGCTCAGCGGCGTCCCTGTCACCTGCCTTGCTCGACACCTGATGGCCACGCGCACTTGCACTGTCACCCCGGGTGAGAGGGGCCGGAGCTTCTTTGCTGTTTCCTGAGGAGGAAGGGGATTTTACTTTGGTTCTTTGGGACTTCTTAAGGTGGGAGGAACTTCCTTACTCCAACCTATAGAAGGAACGAGGTTTTTTCCCTGGATCCAGGAAGAGAACTGTCACTTTCCACGTGTTCAGAAATAAATCAGGCATTTACTTCTCAGAGTAATGAATAGTTGAGAATGATAGGAGTTTCTCAGCACAAGACCTGGCCTATGGAATGTTTCAAGAAATGTTTGCTGAGGAAATCAGATAATGAATGAATGAATGAGTGAGTGAGAGAGTGAATGGGCAGTTCTTTCTCACTTGGCCAAAGTGCCTTAGTTTACCATTATTTGACTTAAAGGGCATAGGACTTGCTTCTTGAATCCAGGGTAAGATCTTGACTTTCTTGATTGGGTCACTCCTACCTGCAGAAGCCCCCCGAGAGGTGTTGCTACATCCGCTGGTGGAGGAGACACGATCAGGGGAGGCAGAGGTGGCACTGGAGGCATCTGGTTGTCTCCCACCCTCACGAGCATCCTGGGCCCGGGAAGGGCGGCCTCTAGCTGCAGGAAGTGGGAGTCGCCTGCGGCTCAGCCAAGATGGGCGGAAGCTCCTCATTGGCAACTTCAGCCTGGACTGGGACCTGGGAAATTACTCCGTGTTGTGCAGTGGGGCGCTGGGTGCTGGGGGCGACCAGATCACCCTCACTGGTGAGCCCCACCCTTTCAAAGAAACCCAAAGTTCAGGTTCCCCAGCCTCCTCCCTCAAACTTACTAGTCCAGGCCCCAAGCTCCCTCCAACCTCAGACCTAGCAGTCCAAGCCCCCCGCCCCTTCTCCCTTGGACCCAGGAGTCCAAGCTTCCGGCCCTTCCTCCCTCAAACCCAGGAGTCCAGGCACCCGACCCCCTCCTACCTCAGATTCAAGAGTTCAAGTCCCTGGCCCCCTCCTCACTAAGACCCAAGAGTCCAGGACCCCAGTTCCTTCCTCTCTCAGACCCAGGAACCTGGGTCTCCAGACCCTCTAACCCTGGGATCTAGGAGTCCAGGCCCCCAACCCCCTTCCCTCTAGGACCTAAGAGTCCAGCCACTCCTCCCCTTCCCCCACCAGGACCCTCTGTCTCCTCATGGAGGCTGCAGAGAGCCCGGGATGCAGCAGTGCTGACTTGGGATGTGGACCGTGGGGCCCTGATCAGCGGTTTTGAGATCCAAGCACGGCCAGAGGGGCCTGACCTGGGCAGAACCTCCACCTACAAGGACTGGGTCTCCCTGCTTATCCTGGGGCCTCGGGAGCGGTCAGCTGTGGTGCCCCTTCCTTCTGGGAACCCTAGGACCTGGGCCTTGCGTATCCTGCCCACCCTGGGGGGCCGGCCAGGGACTCCGTCACAAAGCCGAGTCTACCAGGCCGGTGAGTTGGGACTATCAGCACCTTCTCCTGGGCTTCCTCCTAGTACTCTGACCACCATTCTCAGTCTGTTGCATTAGTTCCTCCTTCTCTCCCTGTATGATTGTCATAGGGCTGCCATAACAAAGGACCATGAACTGGGTGACTTGAAACAACATAAATTTATTCTCATAGTTCCAAGGGCCAGAAGTCTGAAATCAAGGTGTCAGCAGGGCCATGCTCCCCCTGAGACTCTGGGTAGAATCCTTCCTTGCCTCTTTCTAGCTTCTGGTGGTGTCTGTCCATCCTTGGTATTCCCTGGCTTGCAGTTGCATCATTCCAATCTCTGCCTCCAGCTTCCCATGGCCTTCTCTCTGTGTGTATCTCTGTCCCATTCTCATGAGGACATCAGTTAGATTAGATTAAAGTCCACCCTAATGACCTCATCTTGACTTGGTTACATCTTCAAAGACCCTATTCCAAAATAAGGTCATATTCACAGGTTTTGGGGGTTATGACTTCAACATATCTTGTTGGGGGGATACAATTGAACTAAAAACACTGCCATTGGAGCGTCTCAGGATTCAGTCCTCAGACCTGTATTTCTCCCCATTGCAATCTTTTCTACTCTCATGGTCTTCGATATGATTAATACTCATATGACTCTCAAATGTCTTATCCCCAGCCCTGACCTCTCTCTCGAACACTAGACCTTGAAAAGGCAACTCTCTACTTGACGTCTTCACTTTAGATGTCCGATTGGCATCTCAAACATCGTGTCCAAAATAGACCTCTTGATGTTTTTCCCCCAGAACTGCATCTTCCAATCCTCTAGTCTTACCCGTCCTAGTGAATGGCACCACCCACATGTTCAAATCACCCCCAACATCCCAATTACCAGCAAGTTCTATCAATTTTCCTTCCAAAATATTTTTCTCATCCATTTGCTTCTTTCCATCTTCACTCCAACACCCTGGTCAAACACAGCATCCTCTCTTGCCTGGACTGCAACAGCCATTTGTCTGGTCTTTTTGTACTCCCTCTTGCTCTCTTACAACGCATTCTCCACATCAAAGCCAAAATTATGTCAGATCACGATACTGCCCTACTTGAAAGTCTTCCACCAAGAATCTGGTCCCTGATAACCCCTCTAACTTCATCCTCCACCTCCCTCCCCCTCATACCATGCCTTCCACTTTGTACTCCCTCTTGCTCTCTTACAACGCATTCTCCACATCAAAGCCAAAATTATGTCAGACCACGATACTGCCCTACTTGAAAGTCTTCCACCAAGAATCTGGTCCCTGATAACCCCTCTAACTTCATCCTCCACCTCCCTCCCCCTCATAACATGCCTTCCATCAACACTGGCCTTCACTGAACACAGAAAACTCTTTCCTACCTCTGGGCCTGTGCATTTTCTGTTCCCTCTTGGAACACCCTTTCCCCAAGTTTAACGTTACTGGTTCTTTATTCTGCAGGTCTCCACTCAAACATTACTTCCTCAGGGACCTTAACTCACCACCCTTTCTAAACGTCATCTCCTCTTCCATTATTTCTATCATAGCACCTTTTCCCCCTTCTTGGCACAATTTGTAATTATGTTATTTATTGCTCATTTATTGCTGACTTTCCTCTTAGATTAATCCCCACGAGAGTAGGTATCTTGCCTGCTTTGCCCACCAATGGAGCCTCACCACCTGGCAGAGTGCAAGACATCCTAGTCACTCAGTAAATGTCAAATGAAACAAGGGAGAGTGCTGATATCCCAAATCCCTGGGTTCTCAGAGAGGAGGGCTGGGGGGTGTGGACTCCTGGGTCCTCCTCCTCCCGCGAAGGATGAGTTAGGGGGTTAGGAAACTTGGGTCCAGTCCTGGCTCCTGCTCTCCCTTCTCTCCCTTCTCTTTCTCTCTTCCAGGCCCCACCCTGAGCCCCTGGGCCATCGCTGGCATCGTCCTGGGCTCCCTACTGGGCCTGGCACTACTGGCAGTGCTTCTCCTCCTGTGCATCTGCTGCCTGTGCCATTTTCCGGGTGAGTGGCCTGGGAAGAGGAAACCAAGGTTAATTGGGAGGCTCCCTAGGAAGAGCTCCATGGGAGATCTAGCTGAACCAATCAGCGCAGTCACGGGTCATTCATCCCACCTTCCTCACTCCACACCAGCCAATCAGAATAAGGCTCTACCTCTGGGCTTTCCTTCTCATTGGCTGGGTCGGCATGTTGGAGCAGCCAATCACGTCACGTGTTCCTGTTTCTCCTCCTCCCCTCTCTCACTCTCTTTCAGGAAAGAGTCCTAAGAAAAAGAAGCATCCCCCGACTTTGGCCCCTGTGATCACCCCACCAGAAAAGAAGATGCAGAGTGTGACCCCAGTGCAGACCCCATGGCCTCTGCCCTTCAAAGTCCCACTGGAGGACCCTAGGCCAACCAAGGCCCACCAAGGGAGCGTGAGTGTCCCGTTTAGATTTGGAATGGAGGTGAAGCTTTTTGTTTCATAGTCAGGGAGATGAGATGCTCTCAGTTTTCTTCCTTCAGTTTTAGTTGTTGGTTTACAAAGTTGATAAAACTTTATTATTTTTTTTAATACATAAAATTTGGACAGGACTTCCCACCCAACTTTAATGTATATTAAAAGAAGAGTAAATTCCAGTTTCTCCTCCAACAGAGGGTGAGATGGGACCTCCTTTTTTCCTTTCCATAAAAATTTGACAAGACTTCCATTTTCCTCTCTGAGGTGAGATGGAAGTTTGCCCGTAGTAGTTGGGTTGTTGCACGGTTTAGTTCCTCCAAGGATGCTGGCCATTTGTTTTTCTTTGAAATGGAGGGAACCCAGCTAATTTCTGAAAGGTTTGAGCTCGAGCTGGAAAAGGTTAGGTAGGTGAGTCGTGTCTCAGCCAGGGTACTGAGGCCAACCCCTGCCCCATCTCTCTCTTCCAGGCCGCGGGCCCCAGTCCAGTCGTCTCTCCAAGTGGGGGCCCAAAGACTGTTCGGGCAGCTACACAGGTGTGATCAGAGCCAGTGGCCTGCTCTGTACAGGAACTTTCTGTTTCAATATTGCTATGACTGAGGGATGAACCCCAAAAGTGGGTGGGACTTCCTGACTCCCTCTCACCTCAGAAAAAAATTCTGCCTATATTTGTGTAACTAAGGAGATGTGACTCCTGGGCTGGGAAGGATTTCTGCTGATCTAACTGTGTGGTTTGCACAATCTCCAAGGCTCTGTGGTGGACCATCAGGACTCGATGTATTGTTCCCAGCTAGAGAGGGAGCCTGGCCACGTTCTCTGAAGAGGTCCCCCTACACTCACTTTGCCTCCTCCAGGACACACCCCATCCAAACCCCAGAGTCTTTATCTTAAAACAGATCAGATCATGTCCCTCTTTTCTTTAAACCCTTTTATGGTCACAAATTGACCTTCAGATATTATCCAAACTCATCATGACCTTCAAAGCCTTGTTTGGTCTCCATCAGCCTCCTGGACCTCACCTCCCAAGACTGCACCTGCCCCATCCCACCCCCCAGCAGTACAGGCTTTCTCTCAGCCTGTACTTTGTTTTGCCTCCAGGCCTTTGACCCTAGACTTTGCTCTGCCTGGAACACTTCTGTTTCCTCTGTGTCATTCATTTCTGAAGTCTAAGGGTAACCATTACCATCTAAGAAGACCTTCCCTGTACCCCTTCCTTGGTCATGGATTGAGTCCCAGAGTTCCTGAATTACCCCCTCCTCGTACATAAATACATAATTACTTGTATAGCCTCCGACTCCCTCTTCAAACTGAGAGCTTCGCAAAGGCAGAGACCATTTCATTATCTCAACATTTAACACACAGCCTGGCACACAGCAGACAATAAATATTTGTTGACCGATCAGATGTTTTGGTGCCGGTGAAGAGTTGGACTTGCTGCTACTTCTCCAGCATGACAAGTCTTCCTTTTTCAGCTGGATTTCTCATTGCAAATTTAGGGAGTGCATTAGTGAGGATTCTTTTGGCTGCAAGTAACAAAATAAATGGTGGCAAGAAATATGGAGGTGAGTAGTTTCAGGCTTGTTCAGCCACTCAGTGACCCTGTCAAGGATCTAGGCCCTTCGGATCTTTCTGCTTTTCCACTCTCAGTGGGTTGGCATGTTTTCTCCATGCACGTCGCCTCATACAGCAAGATGGCTGCTGCAACCTCAGTGATCACATCTTCACACAACTGCATCCAAAGACAAAAGGAAGGAGGCAGGGCTCCCTTTCACACACGCACCCCACTTCCTCCCTTTCATGAGCGAGGGTAGCGGGGGCTGGCTTTCCTGAAAGCCTACCAGCAAACTTTCCTTTATGTTTCTTTGGCCCAAATTGGCCACATAGCTGCAGGGGAGGCTGGGAAAACAAATATCAGCCTGTATCATGGCAGTTGGGTCTGCCAGCAAAGCAGAAAAAGGAAGCAAATAACTAAAGTGTAGGCAACTGGTGTCCATCTCAGGGAAGGAAAAGATGTGAAGGCCTCTGGTTAAAGGTTGGGGTGAAAAAGGCCATTGGGAAATAGAGCCTCTGGATCCTTTTGGAAAGGTGAGGGCTGGGGTGCTGGTGCCTTAGCTCTCTATGTCCCTTCTATATCAGTTAGGGATTTCATTTACTTTTTGATCACCAGAAACAGAAAACCTAACACAATTTGGCTTAAAAACACAGGGAGCTTTATCACTTATGTAAGCGAAGGTGGGCATCAGGTAAGTTTTGATCCAGCTGCTGAAGTGATGTCATCAGGGACTAAGTTTCTCTAGACCTTCCACTGTGCATTCATTGGTGTTTTTAAAATTAATCTCAGGCTCCTCATGCTGTCATCCCCACCATTGCTATTTCCACGGGCCCAAGATCTCTATGTGATGGAGAAAAGCAACCTTGCAAATCTAGACCTCACGTCATTGAGCTACATTACCCAGCCCAGGAGCATCCCTTTTTGTGAATCCATACACTCTCAGTAGCCTGACTGGGTCATGTGCCCATCTCTTAACCAGTCATGGTGGGATGGGCTATGCTGAGTGGCTTAAGGCAATCAGGAGCCACCTCTGTAGTGGGTCAATTCTAAATCTACCAAGGAGAAAGTAAGGGGTAGGAATGATGCTGTGGAGGTACCACCAAATGACCCCTACTACCCTTTGCCCTCCACTCACCCAAATCCTTAATGACATTGATACCTGCAGGCAGACTTTGGAAAAAGGCGTTTATTGGTGTGGTGGTCTCAACACTCCCCATGAATCGGAACACACGGCCCCCAGGGCCCCCCGCCCCCTCCCCTGCATCCCTCTCCCTCCCCTCCCCATCCCTGGACCCTGGGAATGGAAGACAATGTGGGATGGGGCCCACGCCCCTGTCTGAGGTACAGTCACTGCCCCTTGCCCTTCTGCCCCTGCTCTGCCCTCTGCTCCGCCAAGCTCTGGGTGGTGTGGTTGGGGTGGGTGTTTATGGAGGGTCTCCGGGAATCGGAGCTGGTGACATGGCATCATTGTCTGGGCTCAGGATGTCAGTGTGATGCCATTCTCCCCCACTTTGTGTGGTGTGATGTACCAGGGTGGAGTATTCCTATAATCACAGCTGAGGCTACAGCCTCTCAGCATCCCTTCCTGACAAGTTTCCCACCCTTGGGGGAACTACAGCTGGTCACCGGCTACAGGGCAGCTGGAGCCAGGGGACTATTGCTGGTCACAGTCACTGGTGTGTGTGTGTGTGTGTGTGTGTGAGTGTGTCTGAATGGGTGTGAGGGCAGCCAGGTCAGCCTTTGGGAGGTCCAGTTGGTGGAAAGGCCAGGGAGTAGTAGAAGAGTAAGCCAAACCTGTGGGCCAGCTGTAGGGTCCCCTAGTGCAGCTGGTTGGTGCTGTAGGTGGCTAAGGGGAGTGGTGGCGGGGGTAGGGCAAAGCACTGAGACAGACAGGTGACTACTGTCACCAGCCTGACAGTTGAATGGAAGCACCGAATGGCCCAGGATGGGGCCAGAAAGTCCAGGGTAGGGAGGGACAGGGATAGTGGGGCGGTCTCAGGCCACTGAGCCAGTGATGGGGCCTCTGGCTACAGGCAGCTGGTGGTTGACTGCAGGGATGCTGGGAGCACAGATGGAGATCCCCCACCTGTTCACAAGGCTGAATGACAGCTTGACAGGTGAGTGAGATACCCCTCCCCACTCCCACTCCCCAGGACACACCCTTTGGACAGGGAGGGGAGGGGGTCGGCATGCATATATCGGGAAATCAGGGATCCTGGAAAACCTCTTCACACCTTCCAGTGCAAAGCCTCCATACCTACCCCAAGCTAGAGGTGAGAGGCAGCAGGGATGGGGACATGAACATGGGGGTGTCAGGGGATGGAGGACTGCTAAGTCCCCTCCCCCAGCCCACCCACCCACCCACCCAACCACACACACACACACGCGGGCTAACACTCACACACACCCACACCCACACGAGCCTGTTGACAGCCTGAGCTAAGAGAGGGGTGTGGGGTGGCCGGGGGTGGGTCACAATCGGAAACGTGAACGGGTGGCGAGAATGGCTGTAGAAAGATGCATAATTTTGCGTTATCCCTCACAGTGATGGGTTCTCTAAAGATCTTTCTTCCTCCTCCTCCTCCTCCTCTTCCTCTCTTCTTCCTTGGTGGCCGAGAGCTCTTCTGCCCCCTCAAGACCCATAGCACTTGCTCCCCTTTTTCTTTTGCTCTTGGCCTGAGGCCCCCTGCAGGGGAGGCGAGCTGCCTACATTCTCCACCACAGCCAGCCCAGGGCGGAGAGGAGGGTCAGAGGCCCCGGGGGCCTTGGGGCTGAGTTCTCCAGGGATCCTGGACCTGGGGGAAAAGAAAGGGTCAGAGAAGGAGGCCTGGGAGGGGAAGACCCCATGTGTGTCTGTCCCAGGTGTCCTGTCTTTTCTGGGCCTTCCTCCCCAGGAGCTTTTCTGGGTCTTGCACTCCAAGTGCCTGCTTTTCTGACTGTTTTGAGTCCTAGCATCCTCTCTATTTCTTTTTCACATCTTAGCCTGGGACTCTTAAGTGTCTGTCTTTCTGTCTTGCAGATTCTGTCTATCCAGCATTTCCACCAGTCATCCTACAGTCAGCACTCATGTCCAAAACTGCTCCCTGGACTTTTCTTCCCAATAGTGGCTATCATCCCCACCCTGCGCCCCCCAATACTTCTCCATACCATTACTTCAATAGTACATCCCCTTCCACCCGGCTGCTCGAGCCTAAGCCGCACAATCACCTTTGACTCAACTTCCCTCTTCCCTCACCCTTCCACCTCCATCCAACAACATAGCCCTATGGGCTCCACCACCAAAACGTCCCCAGGTAGGGACTGCGTGCCATCCTCACCCGGATCGTTACAGCAGCCTCCCTCTTCCTGTCCCCTTCCTGCCCCTACCCCTCCAAGCCCATTCCTCAAACAGCAGTCAGAGTGATTCTCTTTAGAAGCATCAAACACGTGTCACTCCCTGCTTAACAGCCTCCAGTGGCCTCACCCTGCAGTACAATAAAATCCAAACTCCTTACCATGGCCTGTGAGACCCTGGCCCCTACCTTCCTCTTTACGCTTAGCTTCCACGTGATCGCTCTGCTCTGCTCACGCTAGCTTCCACGTGATCGCTCTGCTCAGCTCACGCTAGCCTCCACGTGATCGCTCTGCTCAGCTCACGCTAGCTTCCACGTGATCGCTCTGCTCTGCTCACACTAGCTTCCACGTGATGGCTCTGCTCTGCTCATGCTTAGCCTCCACTTGATCGCTCTGCTCTGCTCACGCTAGCCTCCACGTGATCGCTCTGCTCTGCTCACGCTAGCCTCCACGTGATCGCTCTGCTCTGCTCACGCTAGCCTCCACGTGATCGCTCTGCTCTGCTCACGCTAGCCTCCACGTGATCGCTCTGCTCTGCTCACGCTAGCCTCCACGTGATCGCTCTGCTCTGCTCACGCTAGCCTCCACGTGATCGCTCTGCTCTGCTCACGCTAGCCTCCACGTGATCGCTCTGCTCTGCTCACGCTAGCCTCCACGTGATCGCTCTGCTCTGCTCACGCTAGCCTCCACGTGATCGCTCTGCTCTGCTCACGCTAGCCTCCACGTGATCGCTCTGCTCTGCTCACGCTAGCCTCCACGTGATCGCTCTGCTCTGCTCACGCTAGCCTCCACGTGATCGCTCTGCTCTGCTCACGCTAGCCTCCACGTGATCGCTCTGCTCTGCTCACGCTAGCCTCCACGTGATCGCTCTGCTCTGCTCACGCTAGCCTCCACGTGATCGCTCTGCTCTGCTCACGCTAGCCTCCACGTGATCGCTCTGCTCTGCTCACGCTAGCCTCCACGTGATCGCTCTGCTCTGCTCACGCTAGCCTCCACGTGATCGCTCTGCTCTGCTCACGCTAGCCTCCACGTGATCGCTCTGCTCTGCTCACGCTAGCCTCCACGTGATCGCTCTGCTCTGCTCACGCTAGCCTCCACGTGATCGCTCTGCTCTGCTCACGCTAGCCTCCACGTGATCGCTCTGCTCTGCTCACGCTAGCCTCCACGTGATCGCTCTGCTCTGCTCACGCTAGCCTCCACGTGATCGCTCTGCTCTGCTCACGCTAGCCTCCACGTGATCGCTCTGCTCTGCTCACGCTAGCCTCCACGTGATCGCTCTGCTCTGCTCACGCTAGCCTCCACGTGATCGCTCTGCTCTGCTCACGCTAGCCTCCACGTGATCGCTCTGCTCTGCTCACGCTAGCCTCCACGTGATCGCTCTGCTCTGCTCACGCTAGCCTCCACGTGATCGCTCTGCTCTGCTCACGCTAGCCTCCACGTGATCGCTCTGCTCTGCTCACGCTAGCCTCCACGTGATCGCTCTGCTCTGCTCACGCTAGCCTCCACGTGATCGCTCTGCTCTGCTCACGCTAGCCTCCACGTGATCGCTCTGCTCTGCTCACGCTAGCCTCCACGTGATCGCTCTGCTCTGCTCACGCTAGCCTCCACGTGATCGCTCTGCTCTGCTCACGCTAGCCTCCACGTGATCGCTCTGCTCTGCTCACGCTAGCCTCCACGTGATCGCTCTGCTCTGCTCACGCTAGCCTCCACGTGATCGCTCTGCTCTGCTCACGCTAGCCTCCACGTGATCGCTCTGCTCTGCTCACGCTAGCCTCCACGTGATCGCTCTGCTCTGCTCACGCTAGCCTCCACGTGATCGCTCTGCTCTGCTCACGCTAGCCTCCACGTGATCGCTCTGCTCTGCTCACGCTAGCCTCCACGTGATCGCTCTGCTCTGCTCACGCTAGCCTCCACGTGATCGCTCTGCTCTGCTCACGCTAGCCTCCACGTGATCGCTCTGCTCTGCTCACGCTAGCCTCCACGTGATCGCTCTGCTCTGCTCACGCTAGCCTCCACGTGATCGCTCTGCTCTGCTCACGCTAGCCTCCACGTGATCGCTCTGCTCTGCTCACGCTAGCCTCCACGTGATCGCTCTGCTCTGCTCACGCTAGCCTCCACGTGATCGCTCTGCTCTGCTCACGCTAGCCTCCACGTGATCGCTCTGCTCTGCTCATGCTTAGCCTCCATGTGATCGCTCTGCTCTGCTCACGCTAGCCTCCACGTGATCGCTCTGCTCTGCTCATGCTTAGCCTCCATGTGATCGCTCTGCTCAGCTCACGCTAGCTTCCACGTGATCGCTCTGCTCTGCTCACGCTAGCCTCCACGTGATCGCTCTGCTCTGCTCACGCTTAGCCTCCACGTGATCACTCTGCTCTGCTCACGCTAGCCTCCACGTGATCGTACCGCTCTGGCTCACGCTAGCCTACTTGCGGTGCTTTGCAGACACTGTTCCCTCTGCCTGCAAAGCTTTTCCTGCAGATCTTGGCAAGGCTGACTTCTTACCATTCAGGTCTCAGTTTAAATGCTTTCTCCTCCAGGAAGCTTTCTCCAATGAGCTTATCAAGTAGCTACCACCCCTGTCCTCTCTATTATTTATTTTTATTTTATTATAAATAAAATTAATTTTGTTTATTTTTATCATCAACACCTAAGATTTTTTGTTTATATATGTATGTGTTTGCTTACATATTTTATCTATGTGTCTACACGTTTATTGCTTTTTACTACAACTAGGACCAAAAGCTCTGCGAGTCCCCAAACATTGTCTCTTTTGTGCACCCGTGTCCCCAATGCCCTGCCCTTAGTGGACACTCAGTGAATGTCGTTTCTGTGGATTGGTGTCTTGCTCCGTCTCAGCGTCCGTCTCTTTCCTAAAGTCAGACACAGCCAGGAGGGCGGTCCCGCGCCCCCGCCCCCATGTCCCGGTCCTTTCCTGCCGCCCGCCCCTCCCTCCGTCCCCCCGCCAGGACACGCACGCAGGAGCCGCATCGAGGCGCTGGACGCTCCGAGCCGGTTGGCGGCGCGACACGTGTAGTTCCCGTAGTGCCGGGCGCCCACGTTGGCGAAGAGGAGCATGGAGCGCGTGCGTTCTGTCTGCACCTTCAGGCCCTCGGCGGAGCCGCTGCTCAGCCTGCGGGGGATCCGGGTCAGATCCGCAGGGCCCGGCCCCCCAACTCTCACACTACCCCATTCCCCAGACACGGCACTCTGCCCCCTTCCAGTGACCCCTCACCTCGGGGTCTAGCTCCTCCTGGATCCCGGGTCGCTCCCACCGCCGTCCCCCCCGCCCCAGGCTCCCTCCGGCCCCTCGGGGACACTGGACTCGCCCGGTGTGCGCCCCCAGGCCCTAGGGGCGTTCAGACTTGCTGGACCCCAGCCCCAGTGGTCCCCTAGCCCTTGCCTGCCCGGTCCTCAGCATCGGCCGCGGCCCCAGTACTCATCACCCCAGACTTGAGGTCCAAGCCTGTCTCCCTGGGGCAGAGGAGACCCCATCCCCTAGAAGCTGGACCTCTCAGTTCTCGGGACCCGGGACTCTGCTCCCTTCCGCCGCCCCCCGCCTGGCAATCCACGGGACCAAGGACCTCTCTCCCTCCGCTGTCCCTATGGCCCGGCCCGCCCGGGTGATGTCCTCACAGTCTGTCATCCTTGTACCACTGGAAGTCCGCAGGGGGCACCGCCATGGCTTCGCAGCGCAGAAGGGCGGCCCGGCCCAGAGCCGTGCGGGCGCTGGTCACGTCCGTGATGGTCGGAGGATCTGGCGAGGGGCGTGGGTCAGTAATTCTCCTAACCATGTGCGGAATAAAGAGTCCCGTCCCCAGCCTCCTCCTCCCTCAGACCAGAGAGTCCTCCTCCATCGGACCACTCCTCCCCAGGGCCCGCCCCCCTTCCGTGCCCAGTGCCAGAGGGGCTCACAGTTGACTGTAACCAGCACGCGGCGGCTGTCGGGCGCTGAGTTAACCCCGTTGTGTGTCACGCACTCGTATTCCCCGGCCTGGCCCCGCTGGATGTCGGAAATCTCAAGGATCTCGCCTTCGGAGGTGAAGCCATCTGTGGGGGGAGGGAGGAGGAGGGGGCGGGGCCGGACACAAACACTTAACACGGGACAACACGGGCACAACACGGACACACATCAGCGGGGTGGGCACGCAAGGCCTGGAGTGCCTGGGTCAATAGGAGCTGGGAGGGGACTGGGGGATCTGCTGCTGGGGTTGGGGGGAGGAGAGAGGATCCAGTGTTTGGTAGCTGGAACCCAGTGGGGATGGTCCTAGAATTTGGGGGTTCAGAAGATCCAGACACAGATCCCAGGGCTCAGAGGACCCAGTGGGGAGGAGGATCCCAGGATCTCGGATCTTGCATTTCAGAATGATCCAGGAAATACAGACCCAGTTGGGGGTGGGGGCTGTCCAGAGTTCTGGAATCTAGCTCTTGGGGTCCAGGGAATCAGGATCTGGTGATTGGGATAAGCAATCCAGATATGTGAGGTCTTTTGACAGATTATTGATTTCAGAAGAGCTCTGGGACTTAGGGCATCCAGGGATCCAGGATCTCAAGACTATAGGTTCAGGGGATCAGATGACCCAGTGGGGTAGGATCCAGGGATCTGAGATGTAGTGATTGGGTTCTGGAGTCTCGGGGTACTCAGGGAATAGAACCTAGTGATTGGCATCATGGGTCTCCAAAGATCCAGTGGGTGAGGATGGAGGGATCTGGGATCTGGGTAGTGAAGATTCAGGAAAAAGGGCTGGTGGGTGATGTCCAGGCCCTGGGCTGACATGTTCAGGCATCTTGGCCCTATGTTTGGGGCAGCTTTGAGCAGTCGTTCTCAACTTGATCACCAGAATCACATGGAGGGCTTGTTAAAAAAGATTGTAGAGTGGGAGGTGCAGGGAGCTTCTAGCTTAGCAGGTCTGGGCTGGGGCCTGAGAATGTGCATTTCTGGCAAGTTCCTAAGTGTTGTTGGTGCTGCTGGTATGGAGCTGACACTCTGAGACCTGCTGGGTTACAGCATCCAGCAGAAGAGAGGTAGGGATGTGACTAGGAAGTAGGAATGCGGCCAGGGCCCCGGCTGTAGCCCAGCTTAGGGCATCTAATGTTAGGGGATCTGAGTCCAGGGGAATCCTGTGAGTGTGTGGGGAGAGACCAGGGATATTAGGGTTGGGGAAATCGGGCAAGCTGATGTCTGATGGATGATTTGGAGGCAATGGCCCAGGCCTGCAGGGCAGGTGAGAAGTCGGTGGTCAAGGTGCTCAGGGTCTGGTGTCTGGTGGTGAAATAACCGGGGATCAGGGTGAGAGAGGGAAATCAAATTGCCAGAAGGGTTGGGGGATCAGAAGTGAGGGGAAAGGGGAGTCTGGGAAACCAGCCAGGGATATGGAGAATGGAGGGGCGCAGACCATGGAATGGGGAAAAGGGGCTTTTGGCTGGGGAAGGGGTCCTCACCTCGGAGCTGCCTCCAGGTGACTGTGGGCTCTGGCCGCCCCACGGCCAGGCAAAGCAGGTTCACATTGCCCCCTTCATTCACTGTCACTGGAGAGGAGATGTTCACTATACGAGCAGGGACTACAGGCGGGAGGAGAAATTAGTGAGAGGCTAGATTTGGCCTCCCAGGAGTTGGGCCCCACTCTATTGTCCCTCAGACCCAGGAGTCCAGGCCCCCAGCCCCTCCTCCCTCGGACCAGGGAGTGCAGCGGACACTCACTCTCTCCGTAAGAATCTNCGTTCTCAACTTGATCACCAGAATCACATGGAGGGCTTGTTAAAAAAGATTGTAGAGTGGGAGGTGCAGGGAGCTTCTAGCTTAGCAGGTCTGGGCTGGGGCCTGAGAATGTGCATTTCTGGCAAGTTCCTAAGTGTTGTTGGTGCTGCTGGTATGGAGCTGACACTCTGAGACCTGCTGGGTTACAGCATCCAGCAGAAGAGAGGTAGGGATGTGACTAGGAAGTAGGAATGCGGCCAGGGCCCCGGCTGTAGCCCAGCTTAGGGCATCTAATGTTAGGGGATCTGAGTCCAGGGTCGTTCTCAACTTGATCACCAGAATCACATGGAGGGCTTGTTAAAAAAGATTGTAGAGTGGGGGGTGCAGGGAGCTTCTAGCTTGGCAGGTCTGGGCTGGGGCCTGAGAATGTGCATTTCTGGCAAGTTCCTAGGTGTTGCTGGTGCTGCTGGTGTGGAGCTGACACTCTGAGACCTGCTGGGTTACAGCATCCAGCAGAAGAGAGGTAGGGATGTGACTAGGAAGTAGGAATGCGGCCAGGGCCCTGGCTGTAGCCCAGCTTAGGGCATCTAATGTTAGGGGATCTGAGTCCAGGAGAATCCTGTGAGTGTGTGGGGAGAGACCAGGGATATTAGGGTTGGGGAAATCGGGCAAGCTGATGTCTGATGGATGATTTGGAGGCAATGGCCCAGGCCTGCAGGGCAGGTGAGAAGTCGGTGGTCAAGGTGCTCAGGGTCTGGTGTCTGGTGGTGAAATAACCGGGGATCAGGGTGAGAGAGGGAAATCAAATTGCCAGAAGGGTTGGGGGATCAGAAGTGAGGGGAAAGGGGAGTCTGGGAAACCAGCCAGGGATATGGAGAATGGAGGGGCGCAGACCATGGAATGGGGAAAAGGGGCTTTTGGCTGGGGAAGGGGTCCTCACCTCGGAGCTGCCTCCAGGTGACTGTGGGCTCTGGCCGCCCCACGGCCAGGCAAAGCAGGTTCACATTGCCCCCTTCATTCACTGTCACTGGAGAGGAGATGTTCACTATACGAGCAGGGACTACAGGCGGGAGGAGAAATTAGTGAGAGGCTAGATTTGGCCTCCCAGGAGTTGGGCCCCACTCTATTGTCCCTCAGACCCAGGAGTCCAGGCCCCCAGCCCCTCCTCCCTCGGACCAGGGAGTGCAGCGGACACTCACTCTCTCCGTAAGAATCTCTCCGCGTTTCTCACTTGCCTTTTTGTCTTTTCTCTGCAGTCTCTGCCTGGGCCTGACTCCTCGTCTAACTGCTGGTCTTCTCAGTTTCTGTATTTCTCTTCACCTTCATCCTAACCTGGTTTCCCTATCTTCTGGTCTGGATTCTTCTCTTTCTGTGTCTCTATTTTTATTTATTATTATTATTTTTTAAATTAATTTATTTTTAAAATACCCCTATGGTACTTACTGTGAGGTACACTCTGTGCTAAGTGCTTTATAAAATTCTACTTATTAGACCCTCATCTCCACCGTCTGGAGTAGATGTTACTATATTTCATCAATTGTAAGATATATCTATATCTGTGCTTTTTTTCTTTCCCTCTACAACTTGAACATTTCTCCATTCAGGATGGACTTGTGATACAGAATGCCAGGGTTTAATTGGTAGTTGTTGTTGTTGTTGTTGTTGTTGTTGTTGTTTCTCTTTTCTAATAGGGCATAAAATAAAGGTGGCCCTTCTGGCTGACAATGTCTTGGATTTGACGAATGACAGCACATCCTGTTTTGCAGAAGAGGAGTCCAAGGCCACTCTGCTTGCTAAGGTCCCTCAGCTACTGGATGATGGCACTGAGGTTGCAACCCAGGCGGTCTGGCTCTGGCATTGGAGCTTGCCTCAACCCCACTGGGCTCTCTCTCTCTGGGTTCCCATCTCTCTGGGTACTGACTTCCCCACAGACCACTTCTGATGCTGGATGAGACAGGATTTTGAGCTCCATCCCCTGTCTCTCTCTCTGCCGCCTGCCAGCTCTGTGGCTTTCCAGCCCCATCCCTCCTGCTCTGAATTCTGGCACATCCATCCACGTGGGACTTGCCTCTGCACACCTGGCTTATTTTATTCCCTGGCCTCTGCAAGCACTGTTTCTTTTCTGGTACTAGCTCTATGACCAGCCAAAGGTCTCAGTTCAGACATCATGTCTGGGAAGTCCTCTTTTAGCCTCTCCTTGAAAAATCAGCTCCAAAGAGGCAGGGACAGCTTACGCACAGTAGGAACTCAATAAACGGGGCTGAGTAAATGCATGTGGTCTTCCTCTAAGAACCCCCTCGCTCCATAGCTCTCTTGCTCTAGAAGCTGTCATGCTGAAGGGTCACTGCCTGTGTGACTGTCCCCATTCTGCTTGGCTGAAATCCACGAGGGCAGGGTTATGTCTGTCTTCCACACAGATGTATCCCTGGGAGGCATTTGGCATGTACACAGTGTGCGGATGCATTAATAGGAGTCCCTGCACACTCCCTGCCATGTGTCTGCCATCATGTCCCCTCTCCCTCATGCTCTGATCCCCTCTACCCACCCAGGGCCCCTGCCTAGGGCTCACCGTGGACAATGAGGTAGACCTGAGTGGTGTACGGCTGGTGGCGGGTCTGGAAGGAGCAGGTGTAGAGGCCCTCATCGCCAAGCCCCACCTGGGTGATGAGGATGGAGAACTCCTCAGGGGTGTTGATGAGCAGCCGCACCCGCGGGTCGCTGGTCCAGCGGTCATTGCCAGCATACAGGATGTTGGAGCGGTTCAGCCAGGCCACGCGGGTCACATGCTCGTCAATGAAGCAGCTGCCAGGGAGGGCGAGGGTAAAAAGGGTTTTCTCTGCCCACCCCAATCAGGCCATCCAGGTTCCCCTATCAAGGGGGCAGGAAGGAGAGGAAGGCCCACGACATCTCCAGGTCTGCCACAGTCCTATGAAACATGTTACTGTGCCCACTGTACAGGTGAATAAACCAAGCCTTTCCCGAGAGGGAGAGTTGTGAGTCCACGTGCCCAGTGGAATCATAGCTGATAGTTATTGAGTGACTGTTGTGTGCCAAAGACCCAAAAAGAGGGAGACAGAGACCCAGAGAGAGGAGAGAAGGCAGAAATCCAGAGAGAAGGAGACAGAAATCCAGAGAGAGAGAGAGAGAGAGGGTCAGAGACCCAGAGAGAAGGAGACAGAGGCCCAAAGAGAGAGATAGGAGAGAAGGCAGAAATCCAGAGAGAAGGAGACAGAAATCCAGAGAGAGAGAGAGAGAGAGAGAGAGAGAGAGACCCAGAGAGAAGGAGACAGAGGCCCAAAGAGAGAGATATACAGACCCAGAGTGAGGAGAGGCAGAAATCTGGGGAAAGAATCATCCAGGCTCTCCTTTATTAAGCAGTCACGATGTGCCACTCTCTCTAAGCACAAAGTGTATATAAACTCTTGAATCCTCACAACAGTCCATGTGGTAGTTACTGTCTCTCCTCATCTTTAGTAGATGGGGACACTGAGGCCCAGGGGTGGGGCTGGGCTCAGAGTCAGCACCCTAACAGCCTTGCTCCTGAGGGGGGAGGTGTCACCAAGCCCTCCCCATGCCAGTCTGTCCCTGAAGTCATGATCACCTCCTGCCCCCCATCCCTCTCGAGGAAGGGGAGGCTCTGGAAGGTGAAGTGGCTGCATTGCACAACTCTGTGAGATCTCCCGAGTCCCCGGGGTGGGAGGTACCTGAGGGTGGCATTGTCGCCTTCGCACACAGTGTAGTTGTCCGCGGGAGAGTTGAACTCGAGGCTCTGGGACAGCAGCCCTGCAGAAAGGAGGGGGCAGCTCAGCTTCTGCATTTTGAGCAGGGCCCAAGCATGGCAGAGACTATACACGTGTGCACACACATGCACACACCCCTGCAGACACAGACATCTCCCGCACCCACTGCTACGTACATTCATTGATGTTTTCAGAGATATACACACAGCAGACACACTCAAAGCAGGCACACATTAACATGTACCTTCTCATGGGCCCGCACTGACTCACAGACAGGCTGGGATGGGCAGGCTCCCATGGACACACAAACCTACACACCTCCAGAGACACAGAGACAACACCCCCTTCACAGCACACAAACACACACATGAAGATACACACAGATGCCACACACAGACACATGTACGCACAGCATATACAGACACAGGGACGCAGACACACAGATACAGACACATGTGTGCACACATACAGACACGTGCACACACAATACATACTCAGACATATGTACACAGTCACACAGACACATAACACATACATATGCAGATGTATACAGACACACACACAGATATATGTGTGCACACATACAGACACGTGCACACACAATACATACTCAGACATATGTACACAGTCACACAGACACATAACACATACATATGCAGATGTATACAGACACACACACAGATATATGTGTGCACACATACAGACACGTGCACACACAATACATACTCAGACATATGTACACAGTCACACAGACACATAACACATACATATGCAGATGTTTACAGACACACACACAGATATATGTGTGCACAGAACACACAGACATATAGTGTTCAGAGGCACACGTATCAATAGGCACAGGTTCACAGTTACATAGATACGTGTCCGTGTGCACAGATATGCACAATGCACACATATATAGACACACAGACACGTACAGATATATCCACACAAGTACTTGTGTACACACACACATGCACAGATACATGCCTACACACAAATACACATGTACACATACATATTCATAGGTACACGGCACAGACACACATATATGTGTACAGATTCGTGAGTATATAGCACGTATACATACACACAGATGCACATGTTTACATACATAATGAACATTTGGCAGACCTTGGCTGACACATATCCACAGGGACACATCTGTGCCTCCTGCTCACCGGGGCACACTCGCAGGCGCCTGCTCAGGCCTACCTGCACACTCCAGCATGGCACGCAGGCCTCAGTACCCCCACCATTCATCTCTCTGTGGACTGCAGCCAGCAGGCTGGACCCAGGCCAGGGAGTGGGGACTGGGCATGCGGAGGTGGGGGAGCCAGCCTCAGGCAGAGAGGGAGAGAGGCCAATGGGATGACCTTGGATGCCTGGAGCGGGAGGGCCCTGTGCGGGCTGCCCTGCCCCTAGCCCAGGATGAGGAGCTAATTAATCTAATGAATTAATTGCCCATGCTGCCCCAAGGACTCCCAGGGGTCCTCTCCATCAGTAGCCCCTCAGGATGGGGCCAGACAGAGCCAGTTGTAGTGGCTGGTCAGGTCCTGGGGTGTGGGGCTTGGCTCTGCAGCCCTTCATTCTGGGCTCACTCAGAACAGGGTCACTGATGGATTTTGAAGAGCTCAGGGTGGAGGGATCCAAGCTATGCACAGTGGACACTGCCACGTACAGCCCTGTTAACAATGGGAGGGCCAGGGACAGATGCAAACACACACACACACACACACACACACACACACACACACACACACACAGGCTTATACAAGATGCAGAGACCTCTCCCCACAGTCCAGATAATAGTACCATACTGGCTGTGGCCTTGCTTAGACAGACAGGCATACACAGTCATGTAGACACAAACAGCTCCAGACACAACCACACACACACACACACACAAGTCAGCAGGGTCCAAGAAAGACACAGAACCAGCAACAGGCAAGGAAATAGTCCCAGCTTCTCAGCCACATGCACGGCTATCACCATGCTCAGAAGGACAGGCGCACACACAGCCCTGAACACAGACCCAGTAGAAGGTCATTTAGAAAAGACAGCTCTGTCCCAGGAGCAGTCATATGGTCATGTTCAGCCACAAAGGGACAACCCCAAACCAAGCAACAGTTGCACACACCGAGTCACCCCATCAAATACAACTGGTTCCCACATGGTTCTACAAACAACAGCCTCCCACACACAACTGCAAAGTCTACACATGGCCAGTTACAGCTATACGTAGAGAGGAGGTCACACACACACACACACACACACACACACACACACACACACACACACACACACACTGGCCTAATCAGTCCCACTGACGTTACCAGTCAAGGAACATGCTCTCTAACCCTCCACCCCCCACACCCCCACTTTGGAAGGTCCTGGATCAGACCTGCACAAAGCCACAGCCTGTGCAAGGGGACAGCTGCACAGTTACATCCCCTCAAACACAAAGGGGCCACCCTGGGCTGAGAATCGGGTGCAGAAAGTTATGCTGTCACCTACTATCGGATCACGTGGCGCGCGCACACACACACACACACACACACACACATGGGGAGTCAGAAAGTCACATGCAAAAAGATACACCTGGACCACAAGGGAGTCATGGGTAGTGCTATATTCAGTCCCATAAAATGGAGTCACATGTACACACTAAGATCCCTTCCTAGTCTGTCCAAGTTTGTTGGTGAAAAAAAAAATAGATCCCTTCCTAGTCTGGCCAAGACAGACACCCGCCCCCCCCCACACACACACACATACACCACACAGGGCTTCTCATACTCCTGATGACACACATTCTAGGCCAAGGTTCCCAAACCACAGCACTGCTGACATTTGGGGCCAGACTGTCCTGTGCACTCTAGGATGTTCTGCAGGGCCCCTGTTCTTGACCCACTTGATGCTAATAGCTCCCCCCAACCCACAGTGGTGACAACCAGAAATGTCTCCAGACATTTCCAGACGCCCTCTTACAGGGTAAAGTCCCACCTCCACTGCCCTAATGAGAGCCACTGCCTTAAAGGAACAAAGGCCGATGGCTAAAGAGGGAGGAGGGAGCTGTCCAAGGTGCCCCCTTACAGTTCAGGGAGCCCAGTTCAGGGAGCCCGGGGATCCTGGACTCAGCCTGTGACTTAAACCAGATGTCACCCTATGAGCAGGAACCACAAACCAGTGCCCTGGAGTAGGGAGCGGACTCTGCAGAGGCAGGCAAAACCTTAACCACATGTCCCAGCAGATAGAAACACAGACAAACATACACACCCCTTGCCAGAGGGATCTTTCCAACACTCAGAGCTGACTCCACCCTTCCTGTAGCTCCCCACTACCCCCAGGACCAAATCCCAGGCTCTCAGCCTGGCATCTGTCCATCTGTCTGAGGCTCTGGTTTCACTCTCTTGCCTCGTGTCCCCTGGTAGGTGTGGGGTCCAGCTCTGCATTTCCCTCTTCTACCCAATCCTCTGCCCCATCAAAACCCTTCTCCTGCTCCAAGGACCTAGCATAAATGGGGCCCCCCAAGAGGCCTTTTCTGATCTCCCACATGAGCCCTGCTCCCAGGGCTCAGATCACATGCACCACGGATCAGAGCTGTTTGCCTCCCCATCTGTTTGGGGGCCTGGCTAGTGGGCAGTCCCAGGAGACATGTTATGAACAAATCCGTCCCTCAGGAAGGCCTTTGATTCTTGGTCTGTGTGTGGAATGTGGATGTCATGAGTCTGTATATCTGTCTCACAAAACCCCCAGACTCCAGTACGAGGAGGCCCCCTCCATGTTGTGTGTCCTTGGACAGGTCTCTTCCCCTCTCTGGGCTTCAATAAATGAGGGTGGGATCAGGCTAGCCATTCCTTTGGTCAAGGCTGACTTTCTTAGAGTTCATGGCCCGTTCTGTCCCTGGGGCTGGACTCACCCTCTGTCGCAGCCCCAATCACCCTGAACTGTGTCTGTGAATGCCTTCCCTCACTGATGGGAGCTCCTTCAGGGCAGTGCCTGGATCTAACCCACCTCGAGGGCTCCAGCATTACCTAGCTCAGGGCCTGGCCCACAGGAGGCCTCCACAGATATTCTATGAGGTGCACATGAGTTCCACTCTGCAGAAATTCTGCTTGGTACACTCAGACTCAACTCAGCAAAGTTCTCCCTGACTCCTCCAGGCCTGGACTATGTTTCTGCAGTGCCTGGACTATCCCCATTAATGCTCAGAATTATACTATGGTGACCATCCATGTGTCTTCCCCATCAGACCAGAAGTTTCTTGATGGCACAGCCTGTTTCTGACTCAGGTCTGTGTCCCCAGCATCCCCCAGCACAGGGTCTGGCCCACTGGAGGCCTTGGGAAGTGTTTATTGAATGAATAAATATAAGTGGATGTCTGTGACACTCTTCTCCAACTCTTAAACTCCTACTCACTCTTCAAGACCCCAATGCAAATGCCCCTTCCTCCAGAAGGATTTCCCGTAACTGTTCAAGGCACCTCACCCTCTTCTGGACACCATTTGACTCAGATGAGACTGTGTCCACGATGCCTCCCTCACCTGACCAGGTGTTCCCTAAGGGTCTGAGTCTTGGCTGTGTCCTCCAGAGCTGAGCCTAAGTCAGAACCCAAAAGAGTTTGGAGAAGGAATGAATGGTCTCCGGAGACCAGATAACAAAGCACTGAGGAGCCTGGGTTGGGAGATCTAATGTCTGTCCCACCATTTCCTGGCTGGGTGACACTCCCTGGCCAGTCTGAGCCTCAGTTTCCCCACCTGTAAACAGTGAAAAATAAGAGTTCTTCCCTGGGAGGGTTTTTGTGAGGGATTCCGTGAAAACATGGAAGCAACATGTTTAGCTCAGCACGTGGCATGCAGAAAGGGCCCAATAAATGCTAGCTGTTCCTAACAGCACCTTCTTCTTTAAGAAACATCTATTGTTCCCTGGTTTGGCGTCAGTCTCCCTAAATGCTAGGCTCAAGGATGGGGGAGTGGCAGGACCGTGTCTGGGTTGTAGGTTCCTCTGAGTCAGTGACTCCCATACAGTTGCCCCATAAGCATCTGCTCTGATAACACCAGCCCAGAGTAAGCAGGTG